AATTGACGTTGGGCTTTACTTTAAAAACAAACTGTAGTTGTCTAATATGAACAGAGTTCAACCCATTAAAACAGATCGAGGTGAAGCATGTCCCATAGCGAGACAAACGGGTTGCCAGAAATATTCCACGAGTAGTAAACACAGACGGAGAGAAAATGGCGCACCACGGCCTTTCGTACGGACTTTCACTATTTGCTACGTTATTCCCATCGATGTTATTTCATGCAGCGACTTTGACATTAATAGCAGTTAACTAGACAATCTGGCTAAGCAGTGGTTCTCAAACTTTAAGCCGCGCCTCCTTTTAGAATTTTTCTCGCGTCTCGCCACAAAAATAACTAGATAACTATAAGCTACAAATAACAGGTAGTAAGGAGAAAGCATGTTTTATTCAAAAACATGTTGAAAATACGTTGAGGGAATCGCAATCTCTAAACAATAACGAAATGTAAATATCCAAAATAAGGCGGGCAAGGACAAATCTAACAACTATTTTTATTTTTAATTAGCTTCACGCTCCCTCCAAAGATTATCTACTATTATCATAATACACATTTAAGCGCACAATAAAAAGTCAATAGAAGTCAGAGTTAATTGTGTCTGGCTAACGATCAAAGCTGGAATTTCTAATGAGTTGAATTCCTTTCAGGAATGAATTTATTTATTTTTGAGGTATTATCATAAAGTGTTGCTAATATTGTTTATTTATTCAGTATTATTAAAATACACATTAAACTGTTCAAATTTGCAAAAGTCAGAGTGCAAGTTGACCGTAAAACTAACTAATTAATGATCCAATAAAGACGAACAATAATCGAAGTTTTTATACTACCGATGGGTAATGAAAAGTTCGAAATAGGCAACAGAAGGAATGCAGCAAAATAGGGGATAATGGTGTTGATATGTTTCCACTAGAATCCCTAGTCGTTATATTATTGGCTTTAGTTATTTTCTTTGATGGGAATATTTTTTGTGCAAAATATAGATAATTTATATACGACTTGGCGCTTTTTATATAAATTAAAGTCAAATGTCAGTGAACTGTACCGATGTTATATGAAAATGTGCCAACGAATTATAAAGCTAGCAAAGTCAGATGTAAATACCTGAGAACTCATTTCCTTTAAATTAAACATAAGACCTCTCTTGTTTGTTTCGGTGGAAAAATATATCAACAATATAAATTTCAACTAAAGATTAAATTTAATAGCGAAGTCATCTTCAAGTTACGTGTTGGTGATCGTTGATTGAAAACGCGAACCAGGTGTTGGAAAGAAGTCTAAAACGCCCCACAGGGTTTACTCCGCAGTTCTTCGGTGAGAGCACAAGCAAAGTGCGATGACGAACGTGTCTCTGAATATGTATGTTGGCCAGTTTATTGGCGAGTGTACCAATTTAATATAAAAGTCACAATTCCGCAGCGCGTGTTCTACTTGACTTGCAGTTCGACAACATGACCTGAAATGCCGAAAGATTTCGAGGGAGTGAGAGTAGTGTAAAATAGAGTACAAATTCTTCTGTGGGTCGTTGATCCACAATTACAAATATAGGTAAGGCATCGATAAAATCGGCCAAGTAAATTGCTTAAGTGTTTAAAGTCGACTTTCATTCTACTATGCCTGAGTTAAAGTTGTTTCAAACCGCGTACATAATAATAAGCCCGCGTGGTGAATGCGCCGTAATTATCTGAATAAGAGTTCGTGTGTGTGTCGTATGATCAACTAAGTGGCACCTAAGCTTTCTACACCTGTGAAGCCGGCAACAAAATATTGAATTAGAATGAAACAAAAAATAAGAATTTGTATTTTTGCCTAATAAAATAGTGATTTCGAGCCGGCTCAGCGTCTAATCCAAAACTTTCAAAAAAAAAACGCAAAAAATTCAGGCAAGAATGACTTTATACAAAAGTGTTTATACTGGGTTTCGGGTCATATGATTTTATTAGCGCGTCGTAACTTCAGGGACAAAAATTAGTTTGCGATGCAGAAATCAACAATAATGATCAATGAGTGTGCATAATAGAAATATGCGGCAGGGCTGCCAAAAATTTAGAAGTTTCGATAAAGCATTGGACCGGGTGCATAACATTATTCTCTGAGATCCAGAAAAACAGCGCAGCGTTTTGTCGACAGATTGTAAATTTTGAGGAATTAGGAGGACGCTTGGGAAATTATTAGCATTATTTTGCATATTAAAAAATTCAAATAACATTGAATATCGTTAAGTTTATCACAGCTGTGAGTTATTCAATTTCAGTAGAATGCTATATATACCACAGGTTTCTTTAACATATCTGGGTAAGCTCATTGAATAGCAATGTAATACCAAACCAAGAAATAATTGTCGCTATGGGGGTAGAACGCGGATATTGTATTGCTTTTTTTGGAGTAAAAATCTTAAAAATTTGCGCACCTCTATACCTGCCTAATTTCTGCGCTTTACCGAAGCATACGAAGTCACCCCAGGATCATCAGCTTTGACGAATATCTCGGCGTTTCCTTGATTAGCTAGGCATCTTTCAGTATTTGTCCGCTAGTTTATTAAACATTTAACTTATTCTTATTTGTATATATGTCAAAAGCAATACACTTCATGTAGCATTTTTGTATTATTTGTTATCAACATAACAGTGCCTCTCAACATTTTATATTTAACTACCCACGAACTGCATCTTTTATTGATAAAAGATTCGCAGTTTTAGAGCTACTGTGAGTGTTTGTTTGCATTTAAATCATAATTCGACTTTAGCTGCCAAACGTGCACCGGGATCGAGCGATCGAACTTGTTGACAACATTTTTTGTACAAATATGTATTTGTCGAATTCAAACAATTGGGAGAAAATAAAAACGTTGCTAAAGCGTGTGACAACACGTAGGTCCAAAGTCGAAACCTGTAATGAATGAGAAATATAGTACCTTGATATAAGGCTTCATTCAACTTAAATTTAAAGCACTCTTAGAATGAATCTAAAGTAAAATATAACACAAGTAAATGTTATTAAACAAGAAAACAAATACGTATCGAATTGGTGATGCTAACAGTAAGCGGCTCAATAGTTAAATGAAAAAAGTTGAAAGAATTAACAAACTACATCTACAGCACAGCAATGATTGGTGTCTGATTTAAAACGCCACAGCAATTATTGCTGGGCTGCAGCTGTATAAACAAATAGATACATTGCCTTGCATTTACAAGTTATCACATTCACCGCCACTTTAGAGATTTAGTCTGTCTACGGTTCGGCGTTCCCTGGTTGATCTCCTTAGAACTGGAGGAGATGGAGATCTAGAGACAATATTATTTTCAACAATATCTTCTTGCGTTTGAGTTTTATTGTTTCCTTGATTGATAGATGGAGACATAGGTTGAATCGAAGACTCGTCTCTAACGTGCAATGGTGTTTTATGTTTGACATCATCCGTCCCTTGATTATTCATTGAAATTTCGTAACCGACAGGGGCCAGATGTTTTGAGGCCACAGTTGTTTCTCTGCCGTCTGGAAATCGAACATGAGCATATTGTGGATTTGCTTCCAGAAGCTCGACTTCATCAACTAAAGGTTCGGTTTTCGACATATCTTTTCAAAAGCACTAGTCCCGGCGTTGACATCCAGGATGGAATAGAACATCTAGACATAGATCTTCTAGCAAATTTGAAAACTTGCTCATGAGGAGTCTCATTGGTGGCTGTACACAATAACGACCGTATGGAATGCAAAACATCAGGCAAAACTTCTTGCCACAATTGAACAGGAAGACGTTTCGATTTCAGCGCCAACTTCACCCCATTCCATATCGTGCCATTAAAACGTTCAACCTGTCCATTTCCTGCAGGATTATATAGTGTGGTGCGACTTGTTGCAATACCTTTGTCATTGAGAAAAGAGCGAAGTTCTTGACTCATCGCGGATCGCAAAATTGACTTGTGTTTCGATTTCGCAGTGAAAACCTAACATAACACCAAATTCTGTGATTTGCAATGTCTATAAAAGCGTTTTCAATCCTAGATGAGTCTGCTGAAACCAAACGTGTGATCTTCCATTTTAAGTTTTAGTTTTAATATTTCAGAATGCCGCTTTTTAATCAAGAAATTTGAGTTGCAGATTTATCTCTTTATTAATTATTATTTTTAGCATTTCGTCGCCGATGACTATAATATGGTAACATGTTTTTCACATTGAACTCATAATTCCCCACGAGAACACAAAAGCCATTAACGTCGTCATTGTGTAACAATACATGTATATGCAGAGGGAAATTTGAATCAGGGAGAATAAACACCGGCGTGAAGATGTTTAAAGGTTCAAAAACACGCCATGCTGAGGAAAAATCGGCGATTGTAACAAAATGCAATCGCGCACATTATTAGCGGCCTTTTAAGTCTTCCAAACATGTCAAAAGGGAAAAGATTCGACCATGTTTGTCAAGTGTCAAATTTACAGCTTTAGTATATATAATTTATGTTTGAAATTTAGATTTTTTTATGACTTGTATTAACCCTTTCAAAAAAGGTTCAGCATTTAAATTAAGTAAAGTACTTTTAACTTGCTCAGGAATATTAATCCGAAAGTAACAATTTTAACATTTATTTTGGGGCTCCGTGAATAATAGTTAACCTTTTCAAGGGCTCCGCAACACCAAAAGTTTGAGAACCCCTGGTCTACAGCGCTAAAATTTTAGGAAGAGCAGGAAAAGCGACTGGCCGATTTAAAAATTGGTATAACGTGCAGTATGAATCACCACAATCTTTGAAAGGCCAGCAATCTATAGACTTTGATGCTGTCGATATTCTTAATGAAAACGATCCCATTTCAGAATCTGAACAAACAAAAACAGCTACTCTATCTGGTCAAACGGTTGATTGTGACGTTTTTGTTGCAGATTCGGTGGATTTTTCTCTAGCGAAAAATAGAGAACTCCAAAGCTGGATACAAAATGGCGTATATGAAGAATGTCCATATAATAATCAGAAATGTATTTCTGTAAGATGGGTTTGCACAATGAAACAAAATTGTGATAAAATGTTCCCAAAAGCTAGACTTGTTGCTCGTGGTTTTGAAGAGAGTAATTTAGAAAATATTGAAAAAGAATCACCAACATGTTGTAAAGACTCATTGCGAACTGTCATAGCTATTGTGCAACAAAAACGATGGCAATTAAAGTGTATTGACATTAAAACTGCATTTCTACAAGGGGAGGAGCTGAAGCGAAATGTGTATCTTATGCCACCTAAAGAAACAAATTGTAAAGAGGGAATTATATGGAAATTAAGAAAATGTGTATATGGACTGACTAATGCTTCACTGAAATGGTACGACAGAGTTCGAAATTTTATGTTGGAAAATGGATGCAAGACTACTCTTGCAGATCCTGCCGTTTTTTATTGGCATAATGGCATTGAGTTGGAAGGAATTTTTTACTGTACACGTTGGTGACTTTATGTGATCTGGCAGTCAAACATTTGAAAAGAAGATTATCACGAAATTACGAGAAACATTTCAAGTGGGAAATGAAGAAACATCGTGTTTCAAGTATGTGGGTCTTCAAATCAACGAACATAAAGATAGAGTCTCATTAAATCAAAATGAATACATTTCATCTTTGAATCCTATTCATTTGTCTCACCAGCGTAAGACTGATCTTGACGCAAGACTAACTCATCTTGAAAGTGAAGCCCTTCAGTCCAAAATAAGTCAACTGTTGTGGATCAGTACTCAATCACGGCCTGATATCTCATTCGATACTTGTATATTGGCCACAAATTTCAAATCTGCAACTGTGAAAGATCTCCTCAGAGTTAACAAAGTGATTAGTAAACTAAAATCAAATTCAGTGGATTTGAACTTCTGTAATTTGGGCTCTGACAAGGATCTGAAACTTGTCTGTTTCGTCGATGCATCCTTTGGTAATTTGACTGATGGTGGTAGCCAAGCTGCAAGCCTCATATTTCTTGTAGGAGAACATCAAAGATGCAATCTCATCAGCTGGCAAAGCAAACGGATAAAAAGAGTTGTTAAAAGTTCTTTGGCTGCGGAAACACTTGCTATGTCGGCTGGCGTAGATATGGCAAGCTTTGTTAGCTCATTGTATACAGAAATCATGCATAGAGCTATCAATCTTGAAAAACTGCCCATCGAAATTGTAACTGATAATCGCTCTCTTCACGATGCTATAAAGTCTATCAAGCAAGTACAAGATAGACGACTGAGAATAGAAGTAGCAATGTTGAAAGAGATGATGTCCAACAAAGAGATTACCAGAATCCGATGGTGTAACAGCGAACAACCGCTTGCAGATAACTTGACTAAAAAAGGTTCATCATCGTCAAGTTTGCTGGACATTATACAATGCAATGAACTTAAAAACCATGTTAAGTTTATCTGCCCTCAAGGCAGATACACATATACAGGTCCTTATCCAGGCCTGTCATAAACTAGAATGAACCATCACGCCAAAGTAACACCCTCACACGCACACATGTAAACAAGTAATAATTACTCAATAACAACAAGTAATGGCACAATGATTACAAGTGTATGGTAAAGTAATCAGACCAAAACATTCACAAATTCCCCATTATTTAATAAAATGAATAATTAAAAGTTTTTAAGTTCATTGCATTGTATAATGTCCAGGAAACTTGACGATGATGAACCTTTTTTAGTCAAGTTATCTGCAAGCTGTTGTTCGCTGTTTGTGACTTCGCCCTTTGTGACTCCAAACGGTAAACGAGTGAACTGGAACAGAGCACCCGCAGCTTCGAAAGCAGTATATTAACTCAAATCAAATTCAGTGGATTTGAACTTCTGTAATTTGGGCTCTGACAAGGATCTGAAACTTGTCTGTTTCGTCGATGCATCCTTTGGTAATTTGACTGATGGTGGTAGCCAAGCTGCAAGCCTCATATTTCTTGTAGGAGAACATCAAAGATGCAATCTCATCAGCTGGCAAAGCAAACGGATAAAAAGAGTTGTTAAAAGTTCTTTGGCTGCGGAAACACTTGCTATGTCGGCTGGCGTAGATATGGCAAGCTTTGTTAGCTCATTGTATACAGAAATCATGCATGGAGCTATCAATCTTGAAAAACTGCCCATCGAAATTGTAACTGATAATCGCTCTCTTCACGATGCTATAAAGTCTATCAAGCAAGTACAAGATAGACGACTGAGAATAGAAGTAGCAATGTTGAAAGAGATGATGTCCAACAAAGAGATTACCAGAATCCGATGGTGTAACAGCGAACAACCGCTTGCAGATAACTTGACTAAAAAAGGTTCATCATCGTCAAGTTTGCTGGACATTATACAATGCAATGAACTTAAAAACCATGTTAAGTTTATCTGCCCTCAAGGCAGATACACATATACAGGTCCTTATCCAGGCCTGTCATAAACTAGAATGAACCATCACGCCAAAGTAACACCCTCACACGCACACATGTAAACAAGTAATAATTACTCAATAACAACAAGTAATGGCACAATGATTACAAGTGTATGGTAAAGTAATCAGACCAAAACATTCACAAATTCCCCATTATTTAATAAAATGAATAATTAAAAGTTTTTAAGTTCATTGCATTGTATAATGTCCAGGAAACTTGACGATGATGAACCTTTTTTAGTCAAGTTATCTGCAAGCTGTTGTTCGCTGTTTGTGACTTCGCCCTTTGTGACTCCAAACGGTAAACGAGTGAACTGGAACAGAGCACCCGCAGCTTCGAAAGCAGTATATTAACTCAAATCAAATTCAGTGGATTTGAACTTCTGTAATTTGGGCTCTGACAAGGATCTGAAACTTGTCTGTTTCGTCGATGCATCCTTTGGTAATTTGACTGATGGTGGTAGCCAAGCTGCAAGCCTCATATTTCTTGTAGGAGAACATCAAAGATGCAATCTCATCAGCTGGCAAAGCAAACGGATAAAAAGAGTTGTTAAAAGTTCTTTGGCTGCGGAAACACTTGCTATGTCGGCTGGCGTAGATATGGCAAGCTTTGTTAGCTCATTGTATACAGAAATCATGCATGGAGCTATCAATCTTGAAAAACTGCCCATCGAAATTGTAACTGATAATCGCTCTCTTCACGATGCTATAAAGTCTATCAAGCAAGTACAAGATAGACGACTGAGAATAGAAGTAGCAATGTTGAAAGAGATGATGTCCAACAAAGAGATTACCAGAATCCGATGGTGTAACAGCGAACAACCGCTTGCAGATAACTTGACTAAAAAAGGTTCATCATCGTCAAGTTTGCTGGACATTATACAATGCAATGAACTTAAAAACCATGTTAAGTTTATCTGCCCTCAAGGCAGATACACATATACAGGTCCTTATCCAGGCCTGTCATAAACTAGAATGAACCATCACGCCAAAGTAACACCCTCACACGCACACATGTAAACAAGTAATAATTACTCAATAACAACAAGTAATGGCACAATGATTACAAGTGTCTGGTAAAGTAATCAGACCAAAACATTCACAAATTCCCCATTATTTAATAAAATGAATAATTAAAAGTTTTTAAGTTCATTGCATTGTATAATGTCCAGGAAACTTGACGATGATGAACCTTTTTTAGTCAAGTTATCTGCAAGCTGTTGTTCGCTGTTTGTGACTTCGCCCTTTGTGACTCCAAACGGTAAACGAGTGAACTGGAACAGAGCACCCGCAGCTTCGAAAGCAGTATATTTCTGGTCTTCCTTTTCAAGTGGAACTTGATGGTATGCACTTTTCAAATCCACTGTGCTATACACACGATAATGAGCGATTTCGTTGATTAGATCACTCATATTAGGTAAAAGAAACGCGTCTAACTGAGTAAATTTATTAATGGTCTGTGAATAATCGATTACAAACCTTCGTTTCCCATTTTCACCCTTTACGACGACACCTTGAGCTCTCCACGGATATCTGCTAGGCGTTACAATTCCTTCCTGTAACAAACGGTTGATCTCCATTTCAATAAACTTTCGGTCATCTTTGGAATACCAACGAGACTTCGTAGCAATAGGATGGCAGTCAGCAGTCAGATTTTTGAATGGTTCTGGTGGCAAACTTTTGAAAGTTGAAAAGCCACATACAGACATTGGAGGTCGATCGCCGCCGTAATTATAAGTTACACTTTGATGTTGTCCTTGAAAGTCTATTCCAAGTAAAATGTCACAACATAGATCATTCATTACTCTCAAATTGAATTTTGGATAGTGTCGGCCCTGATATTCAATATCAGCTGCTGTGCAACCTTTTATAGGCATGGAACACGCCAGAGAAGCCATTGCTACCTTGTCCCTAACTGTGTCCCTTTTGATTGGGAGGTTACAACGTTCTATGAGACGAGGGTGTATGAAACTCTGACTACTGCAACTATCAAAAAGTGCACGTACTTCGTGTCCTTCAATATGAATCACAGACGACGACCCTCTCAATGATTTTGGGGTATTGTCAAAAGCCATCCCTAATATATACGAGTTAGAACATGCAGTGACTTCGTCAGGTTTTTGTGGGTTGAAAACGGTTCCTCTGCAGACTTTTATGAAATGTCCTTTTTTATGACACTTGAAACAAAACACATTTCGGGCTGGACATTTTGAACGAGGATGTTTCGTTCCGCCACAGAAAAAGCACGCGGTATTTGCAGTAGCAGATATTTTCTCGATATCACACGATGTCTCATCGTTTTGAGCAGCCGCAGACACAGTAGAAGAATCGGATACTCGATAAACTTCAGCATTCTTAATAGCTACTTCTAAGCTCCTGGCTTGATCGTATGTCGTATTAAGATCAAGGTGTTTGTTTTCCAACAAACGCTGTCGTATCCATGTGGAGTTTAACCCCCGGATAAAAGCGTCTCGGACATAAGCATCTCGGTTTTGAACAGCAGATACAGCTTTGAAGTTACAATGTTTGCTTAACGATTTCAATGCTTGTATGTATTCGTCTACATTTTCAGATGCTTGTTGGTTCCTGGTTGCCAGAACATGCCGAGAATAAACTTCATTGAGAGGTTTGACAAACATTGTTTTCAGAATCTCAATCGCAGTATCGTACGATTCTGCCTTCTCAATATATTGGAATATACGAGGAGATATGAAATTCACCAGTACACCTAGTTTATCAAGGCCTTCAGACGGCAAGGCGTTTAAAAAATTATCGAAAGTCTTCTTCCAGTGCAGCCACTCACAGGATGCTTCACTAGAGTTAGGATCTACCTCTGGTCCCAGAACCTTGTCCATGCTTGTACAAGAATACTCTTGTGAAACAATTTAAGTTGAATAAATTGTGATGAATGAGAAATATAGTACCTTGATATAAGGCTTTACTCAACTTAAATTTAAAGCACTCTTAGAATGAATCTAAAGTAAAATATAACGCAAGTAAATGTTATTAAACAAGAAAACAAATACGTATCGAATTGGTGATGCTAACAGTAAAGGGCTCAATAGTTAAATTAAAAAAAGTTGAAAGAATTAACACACTACATCTACAGCATAGCAATGATTGGTGTCTGATTTAAAACGCCACACGCGATGACTGTTAACAATCAAAATTCATTCAAACAGTTAACTTTAAAATGGTTTACCGATTAACTCAGTGGTCTCAACAATATTTTAACATGGATTTCATTTTCAAAGACGAATTTTTCTCGTAGTAAAAAATTCTAAGCCCTTCGTTCAAAAGGTATTTCCCATATTCATTCCTTACGCTTTCAAACCAAATCAGTTATTTCTCGACAAAAATCAGCATAAATCTTTATAGAATTTGAAAATTTATTTTTGGAGACAAACCCAGAAAAATGCTACGCATAAAATAGCAGACCTGTTTGCAATAAAACTTGGAATTGATTTTGCGTTCTAAGCACAGACTAGTAAATCCAAACGTATAACTTAAGTTTGAATGTCCGGTTTCATGGTGTCATTATTTCGCTAGTGTTGTACCTTGTCAGCCCGACAGCCAAACCTACCTTCGCACGATAAAAGAGAAAGGGCAAGGCAATTAGTGATGTTCATAAGTTTAAGATCTGAAAATCAATCACAACAACTAGTTTTACCCGTTAGTTCACCTTTGGCCAGATGTGCGGGCAAGATTTGTCCTGCACACCAGGCAGTAGATTATATTAATTTTTCAACTAAACCGGAAATTTTGGATTTTGCAGGTCTTAGATTTTAATTTGCTTGATTAAAATATTTGAACACTTCACGCTCGCTAACAAATTGCACTATTGTGTCATATAGGTCTACAAACCTTTTCCAACAGTAACTTTTGTATAATCGACTTACGCAATTGTATTCATGTGGCATTTATTTATTTCTGCACACTATATGAACAATCTCACATTTCAAAGTCGGGATTCAGTTGGCAACACTAGTAAATTTATCAACAATATTTCCAGTTAACAAATGATTTCCACAGCTGCTAAATTCTTTATATGAATAATGCACTGTGTGGCCATGATGTTCGATAGCGCTCTACCTACTTCTGTTAGCTGATGAACACACATTATATTAATTTTTCTCATAT